CAGCCAGCACACCTGATCCCCACGGAGCTGTTCAGACCCGGCAGCTCCTTACCAAGCTCCTCCCTGGAGCCAGCTCGTCTCCCAAAGGGCTCCTCCCTCCTGTTCTTCAGAAGTTAGGTGACCTGCGGCACTCGGCACACTGGACTGGCTTTGTATTTCGCTTTAATTGGAAAGTAAGGCAAGGGTGGGAGGGGATTTGTTTGTATTCACGATATCAATAATTTAACACGGAAAGAGAGAAAATGAGAATATGCAATCCACACATGCAAATCTGGCTGAAATTTATTACTTATGATAATAAAAAAGGATTTTAGTTAGGAATCAACTATGCTATTTTAAGAAAGGAAGGGGGCATGGGATTTGATTCCTGTGTTCTTTACATGACAATCTTAAAAAGATAGAACTTCTGGAAGGAAATACATCAAAAAAAAATTAACAGGAGTTGTCTCTGGATAGCCAAGTTATGGATGATTTATTTTTAATTTTCTTCTTTGTTTATTTCATTGTGTTCCAATATTTCCCTCTATAATGAGAATTTTTTTGTTCTAGAGACATGTTTTAAAATAAGAGATGAGTAAAAGTGGAAGTGCATTCATTAAAACGTCCTATGCCTCGTTAGGACGACTAACACCATCACCTGCAATTTCTCAACGGAACTTCCAGAGGCAGGAGGAACAGCTCCACCTGGGGCCTCGTGTCATCTGAATTTGAGTTCGACTCTGCTCCTAAGATGAAGACACTGTCTCTGACCCAGGGGAGACTGAGCAGCTCTGAATCTGAGGTCTGGCTCCAGCAGGAACAAGGAGCTCTGTGGAGAAACTCCACTCGGTTTCTCTGGGATGGAGACACCGCAGCTGGACACGAAGGGACAGTGGGGGATGCAGGCCCCCTCCAGTGCCCGCGCTCCACAATTTGGACATACTCCAGGCTGCTGGAGGTGGTTTCAGACGGGACCACAGGCCCAGGGCTGTGTGATGCCGATGAGAACAGGAGCCCCTTCCCCACAAGCTGCATCCTGTGAGGTCCATGGAGCTCTTTCCTCTCCTCCCCACAGTGAGCTGTACGTAAAGACACCATCTTGGTTGACACAGACATGACACACGCTCTGGGCTGCCTGGCTAGAGCTCAGCCCACAGCACATCAGCCCCTCCACTTCTGTCCAAAAGGTGCTGGCCACGTGCACCACATGAAAGCTGCCCTGCACGTGGACCTGGACCAGGCAACTGCAGGAGGGGTGTGAATCCCACCAGCCAGGAGGATCATCTTCTGTGCAGAATGAGTCATGGTCAGAACACAGCAGAAGCTGAGAGCTCCCACCAGGCTGCACCCAAGACGCTTCCCCTCATTATTCACCAAACACCATGGCAGGCAAAGAAGAAAGTCCATGCATCCACTGCAAACACCGTGATCCAGCAGGTCAAGTCTGAACTGGGGACATCACTGTCCACCAGAGTTACTGGCTGTAGGAGATGCGGCTTGGAGCCTTGAGGGCTGACATGGTGCTCACTGAGTGGATAGAGGTGGAGCAGGTGAGGTGGGTGTGTTTGCAGCTGATGGGGTGAGCAAAGGCTGGGTGGGAGAGCAGGGAGCAGGTGGTACCGAGTGGGTGTTGAGGGGTCAGGAGGAGTGCAGGCTCGCAGGTCCAAGCTGTGTGGGTATGAACCTGGCCATTATGATCCAAAGCGTGTCCAGCGGTGCTCTCACTGGCACCAGGGCTTGTGACTGCCCATTCCATAGGGTCACCACAATCAAGCTACTTAGCGCAGCCCTCACCTTCGCCAGTTATCTTTTGCGAGTGTGCAGCGAGAAAGCGAAGTGAAACAGCCAAGGAATTCAGGGACCTGACTGTGTTTTTGTTTAAGAAACTTCAGCCATTCCTGCACGGTGCCCAGGATCATCCTAGAGGGCTGAGGAGATGCTGCCGGGCAGAGGGGGGACACAGGCAAGATGAAGTGAATCTCCTAGAATTCCCCCAATCCAGCAGCACAGCCCGATTCCATTTCACAAATAGACGCCACTTTTTAAAAACGTAATGGAGGAAGATGCTTCCCAACAGCTCAGGGGTCTGCCCATACACTTGGTGTCAAGTGGTCCAAAGTCTCTGGAGAGTGGCAGGTGATCTCCTCTAATCCCGGGGTCTGGATGCTACTCAGGGGATGGAGGGGTGGTCCATGGCACTGTGTGTTCTGAGAGGGGGTCTGCCCTCTGAGAGGGGGTCTCTCTAGAGGCAGGGAGCGGGGAGGCGGGGCATGGTGCCTGCTGGGTTCACAGCTCCTCACAGCCTGCACCAGTGCAGAGCAGGACGGGAAACAGTCCCGGGAGCAGAAGCTCCCAGCAGCGGAATTCTCGTCATCATGGACACAGTTAAGGTGGGGCCAGGCCTGCAGGAGATCCAGGTACTCACAGGTTGGGATATTTTAAAATTTTTTCAGGAAAAGATAAAGAAACAAGAGCAACAGGAGGCCAGAGTAAAGGGCTTCTCCTACAGACAGTGGTGTCGTGGGGCTGGGGCTGAAGCTACCCAGGAAGCCCCAGGGCTAGGGGGCCACCAGGCACAGGCAGCGTCAGGTGGCAGGGGGCCTCTCAGACCATCTCTGCCCTGGTGGTCTCCAGCAGCATCAGGTGGCAGAGGAAGCCCCTCAGACCGACCCTGTCCTAGTGGTCTCCAGCCCCTGACTGCCCCTCGCTCAGGGGTCCTGCTACCCGGCTCTGCAGCTCTCACCCCTCTGCCATCCGAGAGGAAGGGGCAACCCCATGACCTTCCAGCCACTACCTTGGCCTGGACCACTCAACTCCAGGGATCTCCACCACCCAGATGCCACCCTGAGCCCCACCCATAATGGACATCAGGGCACCTCCAGGCCCCAAAGCTGTCTCTGAGGCCCCAGTTCTAACACCTCGCTGGCTGGTGTGGGCTGTGGTCCACAGGGAGGAGGAGCAGACAGATGAGGAAGCACGGTGGAGGACATTGACCAGGCTGCCCCAGGCTGCTCCAGGCGCCAGCCAGGCCCATGCGTCCCCTTAGTGTCCTCCTGTTGAGTCTGAGAAGTCCAGTTGCACCCCAGGGGCATGTGTGCCCCCAAAAGAATGTTACAGTGGGGGGTACTGACCCTAGCCAGCCTCCTTTTCTCCTCCCCCACCCACGAGCCTCATGTCCCCTCAGTAATGGGTGAGCAGCTGCAGCTGGCTCTGAGCAAGGAGCTGGTACTCCCCATCCAGAGGCAGTGCCCCGGCGGCTCTGGGTCCTCCTGGGCCTCTGGGAACACCATGGTCCCCTCCAGGCCACAGCACACAGGGAAAACTCACCCTAGTTCTTCCTCCACCCTAAATTACATCCCTCGCTCTGCCCAGCGTGGCTTCATGCGGTTCTGAAATGAAACCGTCCCATGAAGATGCAGGAAGCCCTCCCGTGATGGGAAGACAAGAGACATCCCAGTGTGCATGCAGCGTTCTCTCCCCTTATAAAAATTTTAAGGGGAAATTAAGGTTTAAATACTGAGTTTCCTTGCAAGTTAAAGTTCAAAAACACTGAAGTCCAAAGGAATTAGAATCAAGCCTCTCGTCTTTGCACGCCCTTCCTTCCCAGTTTCTCATTCTGCTGGGCTTACACGGTGGGACCCTTGATGGCTGCTGTTGGGGGGGGGTCTTTCTTCCAGGCTTAGCTGAAGGTGGGGGGCTTCACTCCGAGCCACACCAGGCCTCATACCAGGGCCTACCGCACAGCCCAGGTGTCTGGGACACACAGGCCATCCCCACAGCAGCCCCCATTACTGCAGGAAGCCGAGAAGCCAGTTCCTGGATCAGCTCCCGGGAGGCTGCCTGTCCCCGAGTCTGCCATCTCCAGAGGCCACTGACTCAAACCCGCTTTCCCCCCACCCAGCTCTCCTCAGCTGCATGAGGCTTTCCGGCAGGAGCACCTGGGCTCCGTGGCAAGAGCACTTGAGGCTGGGTCACAGCAAACCCATGTACCCAACACGCTCTCGTTCATCACAGCCGCCCTGCTGTCCAGAGCTGCCCACCTCCTAAGGGAGCCCTGGTGCCGTTCCACCGTCCTCTCTCCAGCTCCTCCGACCCAGCCCCTTCCCCACCCTCCGCCTCTATGAGCTTAACTATTTTAGCTCCCACGTACGAGTGGGAACACATGGTATTTGCTTTTCTGTGTCTGGCTCTTGTCACTGAGCATAATCCCCTCTAGGTTTGTTGCAAATCACAGGACGTCCCCCTCTTCCACGCTGGACAGGATCTTGGGTCGTGTCCTCCTCTTCGGAGCTGGACATGTCCCCGATGTGTGTACGTTCCACATTTTCTCCGCCCATTCCTGTGTGGACATGCCTGCTGGCATCACAGAGATTTTCTGGGTGCCCAGAACACGATGGAGCTTCACTCAGTTTGAATGCACAGAAGTGTGGCTTCTCACTGCCTCCGGGCCGTGCCTGGGAGCTGAGAATGTCTCCAGGAAGCCCACGGGATTCTGAGTGGAGGAGGCAGGTCACAGACGTGTGGGGCCCTGAGACCCAAAGAGCTGGAAGAGAGAAGCTCGCGGTGGGCTGTCACTTACACGGGGAGCTGTCGCCAGAGGGGGCACAAAAGGGGTCCGCCTGGGACTTCTCCCAAACAAGGAGAGAAATACCCTTGAAAACAAGTCAGTTCAGGCCCCTGGGGCCGCAGAACAGAGCCCTGGCAGAGCTCACACCAAACACGGCCCAAACTCACACCCAGCACCTGCCCCCTACACCGCTGAAACTGCCTCCTTGGTGGATACCCTGTCAAGAACTTTCCACTGCTCCCATTCACCCAGAGGCAAGTCCCCGCTCCCTTCCAAGGCATGTTTTATGTAAACAGAGTGGTTAATTAGACAATTTGTTAAGCTATTTAAAATGCATTTTGCTTTAAAAGAACAAGTAATCACAATATAAAAATCACAGCATTTCTAATATGTCAACTAATTCCTCCATATTTTTAGAAAAAAACGGATTCACATAATTTATTAATATGCCTCTTCTAATTTCATTCATAAATAAATAATTGCATCTTAACTCCCATTTGGTAAATGGCGAGGGCTGCGGAACTGGGAACACAGGAATTGTGGCAGCCTTTCGGGGAGAATCAGGAAGCAAAGAGCCAGGTCGGGGCTCTGGGCCATTAGGGGGATTCAGGGGATTCTGGGGGAGCTGCCATCTGTGTGTATCCACTGCAGCCGGCCACAGAGGTCTCCTCACCGGCGTGTTCTTGTCTGTGAAAATGATCTGTATTTTTGATCCATGATTCAAATTATAAATATTAATCAAAAAGGAGAAGGAAGGTGAACTCCAGGCATTTCTCTGAGGCAATAAGCCTCTGGCTCACTGAGAGCCCCACCACGGCCAGCCGACCACACCGCTCAGCCACGGTGGACACCAGGTTCCTCAGACGCAGGGCTGCCAGGAGTGGTGGGGCTCATTGGCAGCCAGATCCTCAGGAAATGCCCTCAGCTGAAGACAGCCACCTCCACCAGGCTCAGGTCCACCCCGAGATGCTGGAAGAATGGGCACGCTCGCTGTGGCACACTACCCATCATCTCCTGCACAGACAGCAGTGCAGCTGAGCCCCAGCCTCAGGCCACGGCCGGCAAGGCAGAGCTACAGGGTGGAAACCACCAGGCACAACCAGGCCCAGGCAAGGAAGGATGGGGACCCAGGCCTCAGGGAATGGAAGGCGGTGGAGGCCCGGTTCGGCCTTCGTCAGGGTAGGGAAGGTGGTGGAGGCCCAGCTCAGCCTTCTTTAGGGAACAGAAGGTGGTGGAGGCCCAGCTCAGCCTCTTCAGGGAACAGAAGGTGATGGAGGCCTGGCTCTGAGCCTTCTTCAGGGTAGGGAAGGCGGTGGAGGCCCAGCTCAGCCTTCTGGGCTGATGCACCTACTTAGAACCCACACACGGCCCCACCTTTCAGTAATGCCTCCCTGCCCTGGAGCCTGCCCCCACCTGCCTCCTGAATATGCCTGTCTCTGGAAGTGTGCCACATGGAATCTTCCAGAAGGCACCTGCCGAGAAAGGGAAGAGACATCCATGGGTACCGCAGGACTGAGAGCCGTCAGGGGAGCAGGTGCAGTGCAGAAGCCGTGCCGACGACACAGGAGCTGCTGAGGAGGCTACCCAGAGAGCCAGAGCCCAGCTCAGCCCACACCGGGACCAAAGGCCCTAGGAAGTGGCCGTGCTGGGGGTGTGGTGTAAGCCTGGTCACTGCTGGCTGACCCTGCTCCCAGGGCCCAGGAGACCCTGCACTAGCCCCGTGAAGGTCGGGCAGCAGCCTCCCTGGAAGCTGCAGTGGCCGGGCGGTGTGGGCAGGGCTGGCGGCCAGGCGCCATCACAGAGCCGGGCCTCCGATGGCAGAAGGGGGCCCTGACTCTCAGAAGGAAAGCAGGGCCCTTGTGGGGCTGAACTGCAGGGGTCTGCCCCACAGAGGCGGGAGTGAAGGCCGGTAGTGCCCAAGCCTTGGGGGCAGGAGAGGGCAGCAGCTCCATCCACACCACTAAGGCGGTCAAGATGAAGGCCAGGCCCACAGGCAGCCGCCACCCAGCGCCACCAGCAACACCAGCTTCCAGTGCCCGCCTCCTCACGGGGCCAGGTTCCAGACACAGAACCCAGACAGGAGAGGGGAAGAAAGAACCCGAAAAACACAGAGGGTCCCCCAGCCCTCCCGAGGGGTGCTGGGGAGGGAGGGTCTGTCCAAACGGTCAGGGCTGTGGGCCGGGGACAGAGCAGACACCGCCCCCTCCCCACATCCCCATAGAGCAGAGCAGGGACTGGAAATGAATGGGGACCCTCCAGACAGAGCTCACGGGACTCGCAGGGGCCTATTCCCAGCTCCCCATATGTCACTGGAATAGCCCACTCATCCTGACCTGTAGGGAAGATCACATGGAAGCTTCCAGAATGCCCCTTTCCCACCCAGCTGAGTGAGGGAGACAGTGGGAGACACAGAAACCTAAAGAGACAGTGAGATAAAGACAGAGACAGTGACACAGAGAGACAGAATCAAAAGCGCATCCAGCCCTGGGTAGAGAGCAGGGGCCGGCCACCACTTCAAGTCCGAGGGTGCAGAGGGGCCTGGTCTTCCCCCAGTCAGTTCCCAAGTCTGGCCTCTGCAAATCCTACAGGCCCTGGATGGGACCTCGGCTGGAGGACCTGCCCGTAACCCAGGTGCCCTGCACCCAGTCACAGCTATTTAGGGCGCGAGCTCTGGCCTTGGACGATCTCTGAGGAGCTGCCCCAGCTCCGGATCCCCCACTGGGCAGGTGCGGCCTCTACTGTGCCCAGTCCTGGCCTTCTCCCCACAGCTGCCCCCCAGGCCACTCCTGACAGACAAAGCTCTTGGAGCCCCTGCCACGTCTGTATTGGACCCACGTGCTGTGGAGCTCAGGACACCTGTGGGGACCCAGTCAAGTGTCTCAAACCAGATGGCAGAAGGCAAACAACTGACATTGCTCCAAACCACCCCCAGCCACATCAAAGCTGCCCCAGTCACCGGTGCCACTGGAGGAAGGTTCTGGTGGGAGGTCCATTGGGTGAGGGACACAGGGTCACAGACACTGGCCTTGTGGGCACTTTGCCCCCTCTCGCCTCAGCCTGACAGGAAGCTGATCCCATGCCCAGGGGCCGTAACCAAGAGCCAGGCCCCTGCAGACACAGCGCACCTTCTGGGCAGTCAGGGCACCTCCAGCTTCCCAGGGCCTGGGGGTGCCGCTCTCCCGCCCAGCGAGTGCACCTCACAGAAACCCTCAGGTGCTGCCCAGACCCTACTCAAGTTGGGGCCCCTCGCTTCCAGCTTTCCTTCCCATCTTCGGCTCCCCTGCTCGGGGCCACTGGCCTTTGGGAGGGGGCACAATGCCTGGAGGATGGACGTCTCCTCACTGGCCCCTTCCACCCAGGCCCCCCTGCCACACATAGCGACGTACACTGCGTGCGTTTGTGAACTGAGAGCCGAAGCCCCAGCAGCCACCACAGCTCCTGAGTCTCCCTGTGCCCTGAGAGCACCTCGGTCAAGAGGTTGGGCTGGGTCCGCAGCTGTGGTTGGTGGCCTGGACTCAGTGGCCCTGGCTTTTTTTGGAAGACGCAGCACAGAAAGCTGATGAATCTGGCCAGGCTCCCCCCAGAGCCCTCAGGGACGTGGGAGGCCACCAAGACCACAGGAACATAAATCTCATGGTCTCAGCCACTGCCCGGTTCTCAGAACACTTTACCTCCCCATTTATCACAGCAGCTTCTGATGACACCCACCGGGTGTGGGGCCAGCTGTCACAGCTCCACCTCAGCACCTCCCTGCAGGATTGTCCCCATCCATCTCTGACAGTGTCTGCAGACAGGAACACAAAGCTGCCACCAACCCCCAAATGGCCACCCTGACCCTGGGCTGACGGCACCATCCTGGGACAGTCTCTGCCCGGGCACCAGGTCTCACACTCCAGGAACCTTCTGCTGTGGGGTCTTTGGACCCCCCTCCCTGTCACCCCACTTCCCATCCTGCTCCCACCAGGGGAAGCACTTTCTGGGGTGACATTTCTGAGCCACCGATGCTACACATTCACAACTAACCCAAGCCGTAAACCGTCTGTATCCATTTAAAGTGTTGAAAGGATAAAACCAACAACCTATAATTCTGTACCCAATTAAATTATCTTCCTACAGTGGAGGAGAAATAGTGGATACATGGAGAAGTGGATAATAGCAGCCATGTATTTGGCGATTATCGCTTATGGATAAGCAAAACGAACGACAGCAAAGTTGTAAGGACAGGAACGCTGTGCCGGGAGGAAGCGCACTGCCTGTGACGTGACACCACGCGACGGAACGCGAGCCTGTGTTCACTGCAAATGCATATTGCAAAGTCGACGACAACCAATAAGAAAAGCAGAAAGAAACAAGAAGCGTAACTGATCTGCTGAGGGGAGAGAAAATGAAATCATACAAAATGCACAATCGAAAGCAGAGGAGGCAGAAAAGAGGGGAAGACAAAAATCAGCAGAGACAGAGACGGAGCAGCAACACCAGGAACACTGCGGCCGACCGGAATCCAGCTGCATCGACGCTCGCTGGAAGGCAGGGGCTGTCAGGCACCCATTCCAAGAGAGACCGGGTAAGGTGCGGGGGCTCACGCCTGGAATCCAGGGCTTTGGGAGGCTGAGGTGGGCGGATCATGAGGTCAGGAGTTGGAGACCTTCCTGGCCAACACGGTGAAACCCCGTCTCTACTAAAAATACAACAATTAGCCAGGTGTGGTGGTGTGCGCCTGTAGCCCCAGCTACTCAGGAGGCTGAGGCAGGAGAATCGCTGAAGCCTGGGAGGTGGAGGTTGCAGAGAGCCGAGATTGCGCCATTGCACTTCAGCCTGTGCAACGAGAGCAAGACTCTATCTCAAAAAAAAAAAGCAAAAAAGAGATTGTCAGAGTGGATGAAACTGCAAGATCCAACTCTATGCCATCCACAAGAAACTCCCTCTAAATGTAAACACACACATAGATTTTTGAAAAGGGTTGGAGAATGATATACCACACCAACACCAATGGAGAACGCCGGAGTCATGACTGATCTCAGAACAGCGTCCCGGCGAGGACCCCTGTCAGGAATAAGAGGGCACCACGTGGTGATCAGGGGTCAGTCCCCGAGAGGGAGTGCTAATGGTCCCGAGGGTGTGTGCCTGACAGCAGGGCCCCCAACCCCCACCCCCAGCCCTGGGAGTTCTCTCCAACCCCTGCTGTCTCCTGCCCCCGTCCTGAGACGTCTGGGCCCACCCCCGGCGCCCCCCTTGCTGCCCAGGAGACATTTTGTTAAACAGGTCACAGTGGTGGCCCAGGCCTATCCCAGGGAGCAGCGGGCCATCCATGAGCCCCAGCACACTGGGCTTCCTGCTGCTGAGGCATGGGCCTGAGAGGACTGTCTGGAGTGGTCTGCTCCTGCCTTTGCAGCCTGGTGGGAGCCGACCCCACAGTGCAGTGCAGCTCCAGATCCAGCCTCTAAGGAGGAGGGGGCTGGGTGTGCTTCACCCAAGTACTGGAGCCAGGCCCCACCAAGGCACAAGGTGCGGAGGCCAGGGTGTGGTCATGTCAGGACCCACTGGGGCCGGCTCCTCCCGAGAGGAACAGAGTCACCTGTGACCCGTCCACAGCAAGGTGGGAGAGGTGGGCATGGTGAGGCCGCCTCCCAGCTCACTGGAGCTTCACCAACTTAATCAAATCCTTCCAGGTCCACCGAGCCCGTGAGCCTCTGAGAGTGACCAGGAAGTCAGTGGGTCAGTGGCACTGTTCTCAGCCAAGGAGTTTGCGAGCCTGGTGTCTTTGCATAGGCAGCCAGAAGGTAAATTTTCATCTGATGCCTGGGCTTTGACACGGGTACTTCTCAAACGTCTCCTGTGGACGGAAGGCAAATGACAAGCCACACCTCAGCACCTGGCCGCACCAAGGATACCAGAGGGAGTTCCTCCCACCAGGAAGGTGTGGTGCTGGGAGGCCCAAGGACCCCAGCTAGGCCATCCACAGCGAGGACGAGGCGCGGAGGGGAGGGCCCAAGGACCCCAGCCAGGCCATCCACAGCGAGGACGAGGCACGGAGGGGAGGGCCCAAGGACCCCAGCCAGGCCATCCACAGTGAGGATGAGGCGTGGCGGAGGGGAGGGCCCAAGGACCCCAGCTAGGCCATCCGCGGAGGGGAGGGCCCAAGGACCCCAGCCAGGCCATCCACAGTGAGGATGAGGCAGGACCCACCTGTGGCCCATGCTCCATGCACCCACGGGCCCACGCCTGCCACCCACAAAGAATCTGCCCATTTAAGGCTCTAGGATGGGAGGCAGCTGGGTGGTAAATCGGCTTCTCAGTTTGAGGACCCTAAGTGGGGCACTTCCTTTGCAGACCCTAAGTGGGGCACTTCCCTTGAGGACCCTAAGTGGGGCACTTCCTTTGAGGACCCTAAGTGGGGCACTTCCCTTGAGGACCCTAAGTGGGGCACTTCCCTTGAGGACCCTAAGTGGGGCATTTCCCTTGAGGACCCTAAGTGGGGCACTTCCCTTGAGGACCCTAAGTGGGGCACTTCCTTTGAGGACCCTAAGTGGGGCACTTCCCTTGAGGACCCTAAGTGGGGCATTTCCCTTGAGGACCCTAAGTGGGGCACTTCCCTTGAGGACCCTAAGTGGGGCACTTCCCTTGAGGACCCTAAGTGGGGCACTGCCCTTGAGGACCCTAAGTGGGGCACTGCCCTTGAGGACCCTAAGTGGGGCACTGCCCTTGAGGACCCTAAGTGGGGCACTTCCCTTGAGGACCCTAAGTGGGGCACTTCCCTTGAGGACCCTAAGTGGGGCACTTCCCTTGAGGACCCTAAGTGGGGCATTTCCCTTGAGGACCCTAAGTGGGGCACTGCCCTTGAGGACCCTAAGTGGGGCACTGCCCTTGAGGACCCTAAGTGGAGCACTTCCTTTAACTTGAGCCCAGCCCTTTGCCCCTGAATATCTTTGTTCCTATTTCCCTGCCCCTTGACTGCACCAGACACCCCCTGAAACCAGAGCATCCCCTCGAGCACTGCCGGGTAGCGCTGGATCCTCCGCCCTCTGTGGGAACATCACACCCATCACCTGCCAGGGCGGCCGCTGTGGTCTGTGCTCAAGGCTCCCGCACTCATCCTCACTCAGTAAGTGGCAATCAGCTCAGACAATGCCTAGTTTAGGGCATCCACCCGGCGACGCCCCTACCGTGTACACAGGATGCGTCGTTGCCAGCAAGACAGATCGCTGCCAGAAACAACTGGGTGTTTGGGGGACGCCTCCTAATTGAACTGACATACTCAGGAGTCTGGGTGGTGGAGGCCAGCTTGCCCTCCCTCCCGGCCTCCTAATTAGGATGGAAGGCTCCGTGCTCTCTGCACACGGGCGGGGGTCAGGGGTCAGGCGCTGAGACTTACTCGGTAATTGGAATTAATGAAGGATTCCCAGGGGCAGCTCTGTGGACACATCCAGGAGGCGCTCAGCCTCTGGCAGACCTGACAGCTGTGGGTGGACAGCGGAGAGTGCGGCTCTAATTGCTGCCAAGTTTTAATCCTAGGACTTAATGACAGCAGCCCTGGCTCTAGCGTGCGACGCTCTCTGGGAGAGTCAGGGGCTCCATGTGGGGGGCTCCACCGTGTGAGTGAGACGGAAGAGCGAAGAGCGAAATGGTGGGCAGTGGCTGGAGGTGCCAGACCTGCACCCAGAGCCAGCAATGCCTCCTAGGCCGGGCTGGAGGCTGCTGTGTGTGGTCCCTGCTCACCGAGCCTGCAGGTGGCAGGGAATGTGGAGAGGCCATACTCCTCTCAGACCCCATCACAAAACAAACAGGATTGGGCTGGAGCAGGGGGCTGGGGTACAGGGGAGGGGCTGGAACAGGGGAGGGGCTGGAGCAGGGGGGCTGGGGTACAGGGCTAGTTGGAGCAGGGGGCTGGGGTGCAGGGCTGGGTTGGAGCAGGGGGCGGGGGTGCAGGGCTGGGCTGGAGCAGGGAGACTGATGTACAGGGCTGGTTGGAGCAGGGGGGCTGGGGTACAGGGCTGGTTGGAGCAGGAGGCCTGGGGTGCAGGGCTGGGTTGGAGCAGGGGGGCTGGGGTACAGGGCGGGTTGGAGCAGGGGGCCTAGGGTGCAGGGCTGGGTTGGAGCAGGGGGGCTGGGGTACAGAGCTGGTTGGAGCAGGGGGGCTGGGGTACAGAGCTGGTTGGAGCAGGGGGGCTGGGGTACAGGGCTGGGTTGGAGCAGGGGGCCTAGGGTGCAGGGCTGGGTTGGAGCAGGGGGCGGGGGTGCAGGGCTGGGCTGGAGCAGGGAGACTGATGTACAGGGCTGGTTGGAGCAGGGGGGCTGGGGTACAGGGCTGGTTGGAGCAGGGGGCTGGGGTACAGGGCTGGGTTGGAGCAGGGGGCCTAGGGTGCAGGGCTGGGTTGGAGCAGGGGGCGGGGGTGCAGGGCTGGGCTGGAGCAGGGAGACTGATGTACAGGGCTGGTTGGAGCAGGGGGGCTGGGGTACAGGGCTGGTTGGAGCAGGAGGCCTGGGGTGCAGGGCTGGGCTGGAGCAGGGAGACTGATGTACAGGGCTGGTTGGAGCAGGGGGGCTGGGGTACAGGGCTGGTTGGAGCAGGGGGCTGGGGTACAGGGCTGGTTGGAGCAGGGGGCTGGGGTACAGGGCTGGTTGGATAAGGGGGCTGGGGTACAGGACTGTCTGGAGCAGGGGGCTGGGGTACAGGGCTGGTTGGATAAGGGGGCTGGGGTACAGGGCTGGCTGGAGCAGGGGGCTGGGGTACAGGGCTGGCTGGAGCAGGGGGCTGGGGTGCAGGGCTGGCCGGCCTCAGAACATATGTGGGCCTCAGCCCTGGGAGGCGGAGGCATGGGCTCCCGCTGGGCCACTCAGGTAAACCTGCTGTTTTCTCGCGAGCTCGTCCCTTCCAGCTTTGAGGCCCACAGGCAGGGCTATGGTCCCCTGTGCGCTGTGTCCAGACCCTTCTCCCTGGCCCAGCTCTGGACAGCCTCTCAACTCCTTAGATTCTGCTGGACACACACGGTCCTGGAGCCACAGAGGGTGGTGATGCCCTCAGCCCCCATGTGTCCAAAGGGCATGTGCTAGTCAGGTCTCGTCCCCAGAAGAGATCTCGAGCCAAAGACCAGTCCCCGTCCCTTCATGGTGGGGTTAGTGCTGCAATCCATCACCCACACCCCGACCCACAGAAACGTCTGCCACAAGCTTCAGTAACCACGCCTGGCACGCGATGGAGACCAGCGGTTCTGAGCACCCGGGAAAGTGGCAGGGGCCTGGGTCCTGTTCCAGGAAGCTCAGCACGGCTCCCACAGGCCAGACAACCTGGAGGGGTGGGAGGGTAGTCCGGGCTGTAGGGGATGGCTGCACCCTTGGCCCTTGGGGTGGAGCCCCACCCCACCACCCCCAGAAAGACAAGAAAGAGGCCTGGGTGTCAGGGGAGGAATTAGGAGACCAAGCTCCATGCAGAGGCGACCAGGAGATTTGGAATTGGAACCAGGGTGTGGGGACACTGAACAGATGCGGGATCTGAGCCCCGGGAGATGGCCCTGGAATGAGCAGGTGCCAGGACAGTCAGGAGCAGCCCCTTTGGGAGGCGAGGTCAGTGAGGGGGATGACAGTGGGGGTCCTGAGTGCCTTGCTCTTCCCTGGACAGGGTCTGGGCTCCTGAAGCCGCACATCCCAGGCCTCTGCAGCAGCGGCCCAGGCAGAGCAGGCGGGCACCACGAAGCCCTGAGCAGCCTCCACAGGGGCTCAGCTCCCACAAGGAGCAACAAGCTCCTTCCCAGAGAGAAGCCCGGGAGTCAGCAGCTAATGCCCCCTCTTCCTCCGGAGCCCCTAGGGAAGGCAGGAGCGAGTGCCCCTCCATGTCCCCGTCCCCTATAGAGACCCCCGTGGGGAAGGACTCAGGCCTCAAAAGGCAGGGGTCCAATAGCCACAGCCCGGGGTGCCCCACAGTGGATCTGAGCTGGGACCAGCACCTCTGAGGGGCTCACCCCGAGCACCCTCCCTGACAAGGCAAGGGTTTGGGGTGCATCCTTCTGGGGAGATGGTGCTATGTTCCTTTCTCTGTTTCCCTAAAGATTTGAACCGTGGCCGGTTGCTCTGCCTGTGGGTCTGATGCTCTGGACAGCACCTGGGTCTGAGGA